TTTTATGATGTTATAAGATCATTGTCATAGTTTCTAATATGGTGAACTTAGGTAGATTGAAAATTCATTTGATGAGATGAGTGAAAAATTGGCCGATGCAAAAGTTACAGCAAAGACTCAATTGGCTGAGGCTCAAAGTGTGATGAAAAATGCTCAAAAGAAGTTCATGGAGGCAGAGGAAAATATGATGAAGAATGTGACTAATGGATAGAAACTGAGTGTGTTAATAATTTTGCTCCTTTAAAGTTCTGTTTTGGAATAATGCTGCAATAATGTGCTAAAGGTTATTTCTCATAATTTGCTTTGCTTAAGTGCAGGGAGGAAAACTACTTAAAAAGATGGACTCTATTGCGAAGGATATTGTGCAACTCGTAGCTTTGCATCGTATGAAGTGACTTGTCATGAAAGCAGCAACTAATAAATATTATTCAATATATAATGCTTTTTAAAAAAAAAAATCTTTACAAAGAACTTTATCATCTAGAATAACAGCAGCTTTATTCTTCAAGAATGTGTAATTTGAATTAATCCAACTGCAATAAAAATTATTATTAGTCATTTCTCATAGCTATAGCCCATATAATCAAGGCAATTCTTCATTGGTTATAGCAAAGCCTAAAATGGCATAACAAAAAAAGTTTCTCTTGCTTCAAAAATTAACAACTCATATAGTAAGAGAATGCTTTTTCACATTCACGAAAATGTTAAGTTTTGCGATATCTTGACCATTTCTCAACTGGACTTGACCTGTGGTACGCTGTTCATGAACTCAAAAGAAAATTCATTTCGGATTAAGTGGAGATTCCCATTTATGTACACATTTAAAATTTTTTTGTACTTATTTTTTATTCGAATTACTAACTATAAAATATTTGCTACATGCAGGTCGAACCATGGAAAGCTTATCATTGTGGATTACAACATATGCTTTATTGAAGGACTAGATTTATGCTTTGGCCGATATGACACAACTAAACACAAAGTAGGTGATTTCCCTCCTTTTCTATAGCCTGGAAAAAACTACTATAATCCAAGGTACATATTTTTTTTCATTAAGACGTGTAAGATCTGTAGGCAACTATTGAAACTTGGAATTAATAACAAAGTTCGATCAATTGGAATATATGAAATATTTTATGTCAACATCTCGATAGTCAAACTTCAATTGGTTAATAGATTTAATCACAATGCTACATCTATTTTCAATTTAGTGATTCTTGAACCATATGTTACAAATTTCGATAGTGAATATAAAACATATCATAAATAGAGAAATCATAGCATCGTCCCATTAATAGACCTACTAGGTAAGTAACTAAAAGCCAATAATATTAATCAGTATTTTTGGTCGAGGCTTGATTTTCTTCTCAATAGGTAGAAGATATGTAGAGCACTCCAGTATTTTTGATATATATATTAACTCCTTTGAATTTTATACAGAACCGAAACCAAATTCTTCGCAAAATGCCGTGAAAGATGAATTCAATCAAAAGAAATTTTCTTGTATACCATGACACGATATTCATTGTACTCTTTGAGGATCATCTTGTAGAGACATTGCCTTGCACTTCATTCAGCGTTGGAACCATGAAAATGTTGGACTTTCATACTTGTTTCTAGCTCGTGAATTTTTTTTTAATAAACAGAAATCACCATTACTTATGCAACAACACCACGTGGTTTTAGCTTATTAGATGGGAAGAAGCAAAGTAATAGACATTATAAAGATTTTGAAGTGAAACACAAGGACATCAGCATGAAGGATTATTTTTCATGAAAGTCACTTCCAGAAGAAGTTCCATTGATTCTACCTCCCGAATCAAATGGACCAGAAATCAAAAGTTGGCAACATCTATTTCAATCAGTCTTTTTTAGAATTACTGATTGTTTGAAAACTTTAAATGTAAAACATTCACTCTATGGATAGGGGATGTTCTGGTTTACTTAAATTAATTGCTGAGTATCCAGGATTGAAAATATAGATTGTTCAATTATTCCTTCAATTATCACTTCTTTTACACTCTTCTATTGCAAATGCTCAATTATTTGTTTTCCCTTCTTCCCTATTTCTCATATGTGAAAATAAAAATATAGTGTTAGCTGTGTCTGCTTTATAGCTCATATTATGGTTCATGATGAATAGAACACAGATACTTTATATGTCATATTTATTTTTTTTCTCTCTTTTTAAGAAAGATTGTTTTGATATACTCTCCTTTTTAAGAAAGCTCCTTTTCTGTTTCTCATGTGAAAAGGAGAAAGAGAATGAAGAAATTCTCTCTGAAAATTTATTATTTTTTGTCTATTTGTCGAAGAAAATCAACTAAATACTTTCTTCGCTTCCCAAAAATTCATTCAATGTAATTCTCTCTCGCGAATACTCCATACTCAAGTAAGTCACCACACCAATATCACCTTCAAGAAAATTCAAACCATGCATTGCAAGGCCAGACACTAGTTTAAGTAAAAGAGTTACTTATTTTGAAAGTAATTTGTACCTTACTGTCAACACAAGTTACTCAAATCTAATTTATATAAGTGAAAAAAGTTATTTTAAAACTTATTTATTTACTTATATGTATTGCTGATATGCGAACTTTTTAAACTTTCTATGATTTTGTGAAATATGTTTTGTAAATGTAATGAATGTAATGCTACTGACACTCAAGTACATAAACTGCGATAGTTATTTTATATAAAGAGTAATATTTTTCGTAGTCGATTACAGCGACAGTCACCCTACATGACATACACGTGACAGGTGGTTATTCGTAGGGTGATTGTCGCAGTGTACGATTGTGAATAACATTATTTTTATATAAAATACTTTTTAATTTAGATGCTTGTTTTAGGAAACTTAATTAAGATTTTATAGTATTTTAGTTATTTTCTTGCTTAAATTAGGTTGCTTTAGACCCTATATGAAGAGGGATTATGCACAGTAATAGTTAAACTTGATTATTGAATAAATTGGTGTTTCTCACTCTAATTTCTCTAGTTATACTCTCTTTCTCCGTCTTTTCAAGTCTCATTCTTATTCATTGCATCTTATATCAATAAGTAATGCTACTTAGTCCAACTAGAATTATAATTTCAGTCTACGTGGCGCTAATGTGATATTAAATGATAAGTTAAATTAAATGACTTATATAATTTCACTTTTCATTTAATCTATCATTTAGAGTTATTTAAATTGGGGTTGCAATCCCAACAAGACTACATAACATTATTCTATACGAATTTGGTATTAGATATTACTATTTGCACTTACTAGACTGTTTATCATGCATTAAAATTCGCAAGTTCTTCAACAAATTACTGCTCATGAGCACGTACTGTTTATCCATACTGCTTACGAGATTATTGTGCATGATTTACTATTCATATGAAAAGAGAAAAGGAAAAAGATGGAGGTACAAGCCCCACATATTTTTTAATGCGTATGGGGGCGTGACCCCTACAGTGAGGGGTCTGTGAGGCCCCTGTGAATCGAGCTCCTATACGTGGAGCTTGGTCCAAGAAAAAATTAAGTGGAGATTCTACAATTGCAGCGACGTTAGAATTCAGCCAAAGAACCAAGCTACTGAAAGCCTATAACTTCATCATGCAGCTCACTATCTCCCTTAGCCCACAAACACATCAGCCACATGAAATGCTTACCCTAGCCCAAGGCTAGACCCAATCACTAAAATCTCCATTAGAGAAAACACCCAAACAAAATCCAATTAACCGAGCCCAATGAGTCCATGGTGGCATGGGCAGATCCAGGGACGGACTGGGTCGTGTTACAGCCCATTCCTTCGAACCCAAATGACCATTAAAAAAAATTTAAGTAAAAAAAATTATTTTTTTATGTGCAATATTTTTTTATACGTATTGGCTCGTGTTAAATTTTTTCTGGATCAATGGCACCTATGGCACCCAAAAACCATCATATGATAATTATATGGAAAAACAATTAATATACTTGTACAATGATGGTTGACAAGGTAGGTTGACAATGTTTGATATAACAAAATCTGAATTGAAAAAGTAATTTTTAAAATATTTTGAAATTGATGAATGTGACGTTGATAAATCATAATTGTCAACAAAACTTGTCAATCATCATTCTACATGTATCAATACTTCTGGAAGAAATGGTGGGACTTATGTGCTGAACATAACATGGACCAAGTGCTGCCATCTGACTTGCCAATCTTTGAACCTTTTTCGTGATTTTAAGCGACTCCATGGTGGTAATAGCTCTGATATTGTTAGGATTAGCCTCAATACAAAATACGAAAACGCACTTTTCTGCCATTGTTAGCTCATATTGCTTTAAACCTAACATCTATAATACACTACAAATTGACATAGTTCTGGTGCATAAAAATGATGTACATAATTTCAACAAACAAGGCAATTTTTTTATGTTATTTGAAATTTTAATTTTATTATTCACATTTATTTTTGAATCGTAAAATAGATATTTTAAAATTATTTTTGAAGAGGCAAACTAAATATATATCAGGCAAAAAATAAAAAATCTTAATAACTTGAAAAAGAAATAATGTCAAGAAAACCCAAAAATCTGTCCCTCTGGTTTTATGTTAAAAGTTATACATACCTAAATCGGGGGAAAAACATGAATAATTGACCGTTCCCTTGTACAAGAAGAAAAGATACAATTTTTGCTCTCAGGGCACATCTCCAAGTGGTAAAAGGGGAGGGTGGATAAATTCAACTTTACTTGAGGTTGCTGCGTCAAGGGTTCGAATCCTGAAATATGAATTTGGTTCTTGGGTAAGTGCAAGTGTACAAGCAGTCTTCCGCCCTGTACCTTTGGAGGCATAACCTGCGATTTACCTCCCTCACAATGCTCCAGTGCAGGAGTGGTGGGGGACCCTTAAGGTTAGGGTTTAACCTTTTTTTTTTTTTTTAAAGAAAAGATACAATTTTTGTTTTTACAAAAAACATGATTTAACTTGATTTGACTGACCAATCCAAAAGAAAAGATATTTATTTGATTATCCATTTTTATATAGAGTCCATCGAAAAACGCACAAAATGAATCCAAAGCACTAAACACATATATATCTTTCTTTCTCCAACCCAGCATTATTGACCATACACAAAATACAGGGAGGGTAACAAAATCTTGTCTTTTTCTTTTTCTTTTTTCCATTCCAGCTGCAGTATACCTCGCGAAATCTACCATGAAGAAGAAAGAGAATACTGAAGTAGGATTCTGTACATTATTCATCTGCCTGCCCGCAATGAATACACGTTTATGATTAAATAAAGTATGAATATGAAGCTCAAAGACTAGCAATTATTGTATACTAATAAGTTTGTCCCTTCCGCCAGCACCTTAAAAGTTTAGGTGAAGTGGTATATGTATTTTAGCATCAAGCATTAAAACAACATCGTCAAATTTCAATTATGTTAACCAACAACAACATTGTGATAGACCCTTATAGCAATTAATAAATGTTGTCTTTTACATGTTGCAAAAGATCACTTTTCTTGTAGTGTATAGAAATTATTAAGCAAAGTATGAGTTTACAGAAATGATTTCAAGTTTCATTGCCACTCATTGACGAAATTCAGGAATTTGATGAAGAATAGCATTGTGTGAATTTAAGGGGTGGGACAAAGGAAGTGACAACGACCACATGATATTGGTGCATTTAGAAATTAAGCTGATTTCTGCAACATAAAAAGCAGGGTTTAGTTCAGCTCCTTCCTAAGTGTCAGCCACCAAAGAAAAACCTCTTCCCAGAATCCAAAAGCCTATTGCGAATTTCATCAGAATGAGGGCCATCCCACATTAGACACAGCATTCAAATATATGTATTTTATTTTACCATCAAGAAGCGTTGTATGATATTTATTATCTGTTAAAACGGATGGAAATTTTGAATTAAGTTCAGGCACGTACGAAGAAATCGGGACATACATTTACCTTTTCCCGTTGGTGCGACCAGCTTACTTTTCCCGGCATGTGATAAACTGGGAATCATGGCCGAATGCCCCAAGCAGTCCGCATGCTACTTCAAGCAATTTCCCTGCATAGTAAGAGCTACATGAGTGCATTATTCATCATGTGAGTCAACCCTGATTTTAAAAAATGTCATAACTTCATCAAAAGCACTGACCTAAAAAAATAAGATGAAGATATCTTGTGAAAAGTCAACCATTATCAGTCATGTATGTAATGAAAAGATGTCAAAAATAAGCATAACTAACAACAACATACAAAGTAAACTCCTTTGAATCCTTCATCACGGTCTAGACAGTTGATTGGACGGTTGTCCAACAGCACAATTGTGAAAGGTTTTAGCTTGAGATCTAGTAGTTATTTATATCCAACTTGTTCTGAAACAAGTTGTTTCTGACTCAATTTTTGGATCTAATAATGGGACAAGGACCGAAGAATTATTGCAGGCTTGCAAATACTATTAATACATTATATGTATATAAAAAGACAATATGATTAAAGAAATTGCATCATACCCTACATGCATGGAGTGATGGTATAACAAATAAATACAATGGTAGACATGCAAATCGGTAAGAGAGTACGACAGCTTGAGAGATACTAATGATCTGTGATTTGGTTGGACAACACCAATTCCTTACTGTTTAGGGTGGTTGGTTCCAGCCCTTTGTGGTCAATTCTATATTTGGAGTACCCATTTTCTCTATTGTAAACAATTCACATTCACTCATATATACCAAAAGGGAGACAATCTAACCACCATTTGAACATAACTAATTCCACAAGTGGAACCGCGGAACCTAACCTTTTTGGCTGCATATCTGAATCCCTCAACTAGTAAAGCATAAGGTGCACACGCACGGAAAGGGGAAGAGGTGAGGTAGAAAATGTCAAGACTTGAGGGTCTATCTTAAAATATCAACCTTATTAAAAGGAGTAACCTAATAACTTATAAGTTGACCTTTATTTTTATCTTTATCAATGTGAAATTTTATCTCTTAACATATCCTTGTAAGATGGTGGCTCGTTAGAGCAGATTAATTTTGAAATTCGTCTGCTCATTTTGAGTTTTAATTGGATCGAATTGCTCGTTAGAGTTTAATATGCTCTGATACCATATTAAGATTTGATATTTCATCTTAAAAGGTCAACATTGTTAAGATGAGTGACTCAAATTCTTATAAATTGATCTATATTTTCATCTTTAATAAAATAACAAAGGGAATGTAAATGTCGTTTTTTATAAGGTTAAATTCAATTTGCTGCAAAAAGACACTTTAAACGTTAAAAAAGGAAATATAAAAATTTCTAGTTTTTACTTTTACCGTTAGAAGACGGTTTACCTACTCATGAGAACTTAGCCCAGGGACGGTTGGGGGCCATCAACCGTCCAGGGGCTTAGCTGAACTCAATTTTCAATTTGACAACAGAATTGAGTCTAGGGCCTATGTTCGGTTCGGCTCATACATTTCAAGAGATTCACATGTACCTAATGTATCCACCACTTATTTCTATTTATTATAATTTAAAACTTCTATGAACACTTCTCATACACAGGTAACAAAATATTTGCAGCCCTATATTTCTATTATTTACCGTGGGTGTATCAAGATTTTTGTCACAAAGCGTACAATACTTGACATGACTAAGAGCCTGTTTGGGAGTGATTTTGAAAATTGATTTTTTGATCGTTAGGAGAAAAATAGGGTCCACCTGTGAGAGAAGAAGTCAAATATGACGGCTGTAATAATGAAATAACGGTCAAAAAATTGATTTTTTGGGTGAAAAAATCGGGTCCAAACAGCCCCTTAATGATCAACAAATATTTTCTTTCATTTTTTCAGCAATTATTCTTGTTTTTAAAATTTTCTTACACATCCTAACAAAAGAATCAGGTGGTGTAGCAGTAGCAACGAACACATAATAAAACAAGTATGGACAATTTTGCCCTCACCCACCGACACCGACACAGTCATACACGTCACAACACTCATCCCCTCACCGCTTCATCGCGCCACCACTACCATCTACCGGCCGCCATTAGCTTCACCACCCAAAAAACTTGAAAGAAATAATCACTGAAAGTTTAACATACCTCTTCTTGGTTTGTTTAAATTCTTAACATTTTGATTCGCAATTTTCACTTCCTTCTTCTTATCCTCTGGCGGAATCAACACCCCATCAATCCCCTGTACTGAAATTCGCCCATCTGTGTAAATATCTGGATCAAACAAGTAAGCTGCATCCTCTCCATCGCCGAATTTTACCGAGCCATCAGCTTCTTTGGCAAAAAGCTTGTGTGGGACATGCAATGTATCATATGCTACCTTCCCGAATCTCCTCACGGCATTGTACATGCTCTCTTCGGTCTGATACTCTGGTACAATGTGATAATAAACTATCTGTTCAGGAGCACCGGGTTCGCTCAATTGTTCGGTAGTGAGTTTCGCCATGGCCTCGTCATTTGGAGCTAAAACTGTTAAAACATAGCCTTCGCTGATTAGTTTCCCCATTTCTGTAGCGAGATTTGTCAAATTAACCAAAATGTCGGCCATTTCATTATACCCGCCGTAGTGGAGGAGTGTCTGAATGAAGTCCTTCACCTGTCTCTCGCCGTCAAAATGGTGATGGGACCCACCTGGACCAGGGGCCGGAGCAGGAGCCAAGGATGGTGCCGGTGCCATGGCTTCGTATATCGACAATTTGGAGGGTGTGTGAGCATCGATTGTTGCTGACTTTGCCTTTTTCTTTGATAACAATTTGTGGGTGGTTCTTGGATCAATTTCTGGGGCTCCTTCTGGTTTAACTGCCGAAATTGATCTGAGGCTGCGCCGATTATTGAATGAGTGCTCAACGGACTTTGGAATTAGTACCTTTTCAATTCCATGAATGATTCCATCAGGACGAACAATGGAGTCAGGATATACAACCTTCACAGCACCTACATATTTATTAGCACTGCGAGAATGATTTGAACTGAAACTACATGAAAATTCTATACGGTCGTTAGAGAGAGCGGAGTGCCGAGTTGACTCGGTGGGTTCTGTGGGCCAATCTCCCAGAGTGAGCTTAGTGGGGAGGATATGATGGAGGATGAGGGTCTGAAGCGACTTGATATTGCCTGGTTCGAGGAGGAACCGATTGAATTCTGGGTCGAGATCGCGCTCCAGGGCTTCATTTATGGGGGCAAAAATAGTGAGATTATAGGTGTACACTGCTTGCTCTAGTGTTGGTAAAAGAAGGGCCTTCTCCACGAGCTCGGCGAGTTCAGTGTAGTGGGAGTCCAAGAGGGCAACAAGGACAGAGTTGGAGTTGATTTGACGCGGCTGTTCCGGCAATGTGGAACCGAGTTGAATCCTACGGGAGAAAAGGAGAAAGAAAAGGAGTAATAAATTATTTGCCATTGAATTGAATGACTTGGAGCTGGAGTTGAGAGTTGTGTTGAATGACTTGGAGTTGGAGTTGAGATTTGTGTTGAAGACGAGAAGAAAATTGAAGGGCCAGATGGGTCGCTGAGGGCATCTCCAATGCATGCCCTATTGCACCCACTTATACCAAAATTTGGTGCAAACTTCCTTCGGTCATCGCACCAAATTTTTGGTGCAAAATGAGATAACAGGCCATCTCCAATCCTGTACCAAATTTTGATTCATTTTGTATCAAATTTTGCACCAAACTAAAATTTATTTTCAATCATTACACCAAAAATTACACCAAATGAACAGTGTTTAACCATTTTCTTTCCTTTCTTTATTCTTTATAATCTACTTATTTGAAATATTATTTATTTAATTATTTCATAAATACATAAATTACTAAATAAATAAGTACGTTAAATTACGGAAAAGATTAAATTCATTAATAAATATAAAAAAACATAGAACAATTAATAAAAATACTGCAATAACGAAAATATGAAATTATGCCATTAGAAAATAGTACAATGCATTTCGAATTTGGATAAATGATATTACGAAGTCGCTAAATTTTTGCAATTTAATTCTCAGAATTCATATGTTTATCCCACAAATGATCGATTAATGCATTTCGAAGTGCAATGTGAGTTTATTTATCCTTGATTTGTCTATGACGAGCAATGAATTTCTGAAATGTCGATTTTCATAGGTATGTTGCTATTTAATATATTTCGTGTTAACTTTAATAAATAATCGTGTTTGATGTATTTTAAATTTTTTTCGTCTTTTAATTAATTAATTATTATATCTTACATTTAAAATGTATTTTAAACACAAATAATATTAATATTAATAAAATAATAATAATAATTTATTTTATTAAAAAATATATAGCACAAATTACATAAATACCCTCAACAAATTTATTTGAAAAATGTTAAATAAAGACAAAATTGACATTTTACACTTTGCACCATTTTTCACCGAAATGGTGCAAAGTTTGGTGTTGAATTGGAGCAATTTTGCACCAAAAAAGGTGCAAAATGGTGCAATGGTATTGTGGTTGGAGATGCCCTAACATTAACATGAATAGTATTGCACCATATTTGGTGCAACACTATTCATTACACCATTTTTTGCACCAAATGGCGCAATGTCCATTTTGCCCTATTTTTTATTTTTCACAGATAATAATTAATGGTATTTGTGTCATTTTCGTTCTATAATAATAATGATGATGATAATAATAATAATAATAATTACTTAATAAATTACACTATTAATTATATTATTAAAGTTTATTATTTTTAATAATATAATCAATAATAATTAATGTAATTGTTAATTTAACGTAAAATTTAAATCGTAAAGTTTGTGTCTAAAGTTTAATTTAACATAAAGTTTAATTCAATGTAAAGTTTATATTATTAAGTTTATTATTTTTTGTAAATTTAACGTAATTGTTTATCGTAAATTAATAATATAATCAATTATTTTTGTCAATTTAACATAATATACAAAATACGCGAATAATTTAGTAATCATTATATTTGTTAATTTAACGAAGTTATGATTTAGTAATTTATATAGTTATAAAATAAATAAATAAATTTTTTAAATAAATAAATTGTCAAAAATCGAAAGAATGAATAAAATAATAAAGCACTGTTCATTTTGTGCAAGTTTTGATGTAATGATTGGACAATAATTTTGGTTTGGTGCAAAATTGTGCAAATTTTGGTGCAGCGCTGGAGATGGTCGAAGATTGGCCAACTGAGTGTGTATGTTAGCAGGCGTGTTTTGCGTGTGTGTTTTTTTTTTTGTGTTGCACTTTGAAATTCTCGACTTCTTCTTTTAATTTTTCTTTCATATTTTTATTTATTTGTGAATGGTTTTATTATTATTTTTTTTTTGAGTCTTAAGTTTATCGGAATACATCATAGCTACGGGTGTTAAATGAAGCGAGTTGATATGTTGAATTCACGAGTTCGACGTAGTCGTCTATGTGGCTAGCCTAGCACGAGTTGACTCACCCCACAAGTTCGTTTCTTGATAGGCAAGCGAAGGAGGCTCAACCTACTTAACACTCCAAATTGCATGGAGGGTAAAGTGGGTTGAGTTGATTTTTTTGTTATCGGAAAATGTGGAAACTAATTTAGGTGGACATTTCATTGAGTATGTCTAGGAAAGTGTTTATAAACAGGGATAAATTGGAGGCAAAGAAGTAAATAATACTCACGAATTCTATGAAATGAGTGAATAAAAATGGTTTGACCAAAAATATATTTTAAACTAACGTGTTTATAAATACATAGAAATATATACTCATCATCTCGAGTTGGATTGTATCTAATTATACAATAGACCTTTCTTTAGTTCTTTTTTGATAATATTATTATTTGCAGCCCATTTTAACAAATAAGATATATAAATGTGTGTGATTAGATCGAATAACGTTCAAATAATTAATCAATTGTTAGAATTTTATCTTTGGTCTTTGAAGTCCTTGCTCAGAATATAACGATGTTGGATTTTGTCATGGTATTGTTGCAAGATATGAGATTTGAACCAGATGACCCCAAATCTTGTAATCCCGAACTCGATCCCTTGACCTCGACCTTGATATCACCCAAAACTACCAAATCAAGGTCGCTCCTTTGAGGTCGAGGTATGTCAACTAGCCATGCACTTCTTAACGACCTATGAGTACACTAATTCTTCTTAAGCCACAGTCCTTACCATGTTTGACTTCTTCCACTCAAACAATGTTTGAACACTTGGAATGAAATACTAACTCCTTATCCTACGAGGATAAGGACCATAAAAGGATAAGTCCTTCTAGGACTCTATCATTAACACCTATAAATACACAACCCGTGCTCATTCTTGAGGTACGTTTTTCATTATTTCCAATTTATAGCCTCACGCACTAAATTTCCTATCTGACTTAAGCATCGGAGGGGCGACGAGCACACACCTCGTTGCCTTTGTTGCAGGTATTCGAAGGTCGTTCGTGTTCATCAAAGTTCGGAGTTCAATCATTGAGTTCGAGATCTTTCCGGTACTATTTTTTAGTAGCATCATTGACGCTGTCTGTGGGAAGAGCTAACAAAAGCCATGGTCAATACACGTTCAGGTTTTCCTCCAACAAGCTCATCCGTCCCGGATAACCCTCCTCCTCCTGAGGAGTGCCATATCCCTCAAGAAGAATCGTCGGAGTCTCAGAGATGCCAGCACCTCCTCAAACTGTTGTTTCCGCCGGAGCTTTTGAGGAACTTCGTTAGCACGTGGCTGCATTAACTCAATTGTTAAGCTAGAGAAATTTGCACCCGTCGCATACCCCAACCCCTGAAGGTGGCTTTATAGCATACGCCCGGGCTTGAGTCCATTGTACAGCCCATGATGACGGCGGGGTTTTAACTTTAGGCGCACCACAAGTGGCTTCAGGTTCAATGTCTGTTACAATGGACTCCGCTGAACTCGCTAGAATTATTCAAGAAAGGATAGTAACAGGTATACGACAAAATACTCGGGCAGCAACAGGGTTCACCCCCAATACGCCATTCACTCCAGAAGTCCTCTCGCATCCCCTCCCCGATAGGTTCAAGTATCCTCGGATAAAGGAGTACGATGGGACAACTGACCCCATCAATCATCTCAATGTGTACACGGATATCATGAACTTATAGGTTGCACCTGATGCAATAATGTGCAAGGCATTCCCCTAGACCCTCACAAACGCAGCTAGAGATTGGTTTTCCATATTGGAATCGAATTCTATCGCCTCCTTCTCAGATTTGGCCAATAAGTTCTCCGCTTTCTTTGCGAGCAGCAAGTGAATCAGAAAGACAGTCGCATTACTAATGTAGATCGTCAAGGACCCAATGAAATACTGTGCAGTTTCATGACCAGGTTCAATAAAGAAAGACTTCAGATCCCCGATCTACATATCATTGCTGTAGTCTCGGCTCTGACATATGCCATTAAGTGCAAAGCATTCAAGATGTCCTTGTCTAAGATCCCGTCGAAGTCAGTCACCGAGCTACTCACATGAACTGAGAAGTACATCAATATGGAAGTAACTATGGCCCCGAAAAGAGAAGTTTCCTTACCAGGAAGGTTAGATCAGAAAAGGCAGCATGAGTCCAGTTTGAGACAAGATACACCTAGGGTCAAGCCAAGGAAGGACCCATCCTCAACATCTTTTACCCGTTTGAACACCTCAAGGTCCAACATCCTAATGGAAATCAAGGGCTCGAGGGAACTGTAGTGGCCTCCTAGATTGCGATCTTTCCTCGATACTCGCTACAAGAGTAAGTACTGTGATTTCCATAGAGATCACAAACATACAACGGAACACTGTTTGGCCTTAAAGCGCGAAATTGAAGCTCTTATAAAAAGGGGATTTTTGGGCTCTTACATTAGCAATGACAAGCGCCCGAGGAATAATCAGAACGGAGGTAAAGGCCCAGAGGGTCGAGGAAACAAACAACCAACTGCAGGTACTATCAATATTATTGTCGGAGGAATAGTCTCGGGAGGAGATTCTAGCAGCGGGCGTAAACAGTATGCCAGGCAGCCTCCAGTCATCTCAAGACCAGATTTACAGAGGACATCACTTTCAGAATGGAGGACTTGAAAGGCATAGCATTCCCTCATGATGATGCTCTAGTCATATCGGCCATCATCCCCAACTTTGAAGTCAAGAGAGTTCTGGTAGATAACGGAAGTGCAGCAAATGTACTGTCTCATGAAACCTTTGTTCAAATGGGGATCTCACAGAGCAGCTCAAGCTAGTCAAAACACCCTTCTAAGGATTCAGAGGTAAGGTTATCACCCCGAAAGGTATCGTCGGGTTGCCCTTAACATTAGGGAAAGAAGGTAAACAGGTGACGCAAATCACCACCTTTGAAGTTGTCTGTACGCCGATGGCTTACAATGCCATATTGGGAAGACCACTGCTCAACAGAATTCGAGCTATTGTCTCAACCTTCCATTTGGCTATGAAATTCCCAACTACTAATGGAATTGGAGTAGTCCGAGGCAACCAAACAGTGGCCCGACAGTGTTATGTGACTAGCGTTCGAAAAATCAAGAACGACGTCATGAAAGTAGAGCTCGAGCTCGAGCAC